TTTTTCATAAAACAAATAATAGGTACTTTATTCAGAGAAAAAAGGGTGCATAATTTAGAGAAAAAAAATAGGTACATTATTTAGAGAAAAAATAGGTTCATTTAAAAAAAATGTTTTTCATAAAACAAACAATAAATAGATTATCAAAATATTTTTCAACATAATTAGAATGTACACTATTATTCATAAAACTATAATAAAATAGATTACTAGTTGTATAATTCATAAAAGGAAAACAACAACAAAAACTTATGAAAACCAAAACGTTTTTTTTTTTGGTCATAAAATAAACCAAAACGTTACTAATATGTTAATGTTGAGTTGAATATTTAATTTCAAATAAGTTTCTAAATTAATTCATACATCCATTACAACCATTTGAAGATCTTTCCAAATTCAACGTGTGTCATTAGTTACACCTCCACATAACACGTTAACTTGTAAATACGGGTAGTTTTGGAATCCGAAAAATAGAATAAATCAAATTTTAAGCTAAATAAATCAGATTTTAAGCTAGATTAGGTAACTTGCTTATTTGGATCCTAGTTAGCCGGTTTTACTTGAAAAAATTGGGTATTTTAAATAGAAAAATAAAAGAAAGGGTTGTAGGTGATTACAAATGAATTTTATGGGTCTAAGCTCAATTTACTAATATATTATATATATTAATGTTTGCCTGAAATGTCAACGAGGGTTGATTGGTGGGTTTCTTATATCACAAGTAAGCCATACAAATCTGGCTGTACCGATCAATCAATCCAATTAGCAAATTTGGCATAGTATGATGAATTATTTCTTCATTTATATACGGCCAACAATTGGGATTTGATACCGCATGATATGTACGGCCTAGGAAAGCTGTCCGATGTAGTTTTGTCTCTCAACCTAAAAATACTCGTAAATTTTTAAGTGAAGAAAAATGACAGGGGCATGGGCTTACCCATTCGCTTTTTTATTCTTCCCTCTTCATTATTGCTTTTATATGAAGGAAGCCAAAAAAAAAAAAAAGGAGCTTCGTGCTTAGCTACCACTTGCAGCTCAAAAGCTTCAAATATGTACCTTTCACAAATCACTAGCAAATGCACTTCATTTTCCGGAGCTGCTTGATAACGTACTCAAGAGACTAATGAATAAAAGTAAGAGCTCCTCATTATCACGAATTTACAATCCACATATAGAGATCCTTTTCATATATTAGCAAGACTTCTCGACTTTCATCAGTTTCTTCCAACAAGAAACCACGGAAATTGCCAGGAGGATGCAAGTAGTAGAAAACGAAAACAACTTAAAATTAAAGAGAATCAAAGAGAAAATACATGTTGGAAAAGAGAGATGAAGAATGGTGGATATGCACCTTGGGCTTGTCCAAGGGCCATGATTAGACCCTGAGCCTCTTTTTTCTTTGCATAAAATTCTCCATCTGCAACTTGTTGACGAGCATAGAAATTTGGCTCTTTCGATCAATCCCAATTAGCAATTTTGGCATATAGTTTGCGATGACACGAGCCTAGCTGGTACAATTTTGGCTGCACTACAATGGTAATTCAAATTTGGCTAACATATGAAAGCAACATTAATTAATAATTATATGAATACAATATTATACGCGGTACCATCTCAACTGACCACATTGTGTGTCATCTCTTTGATAGAATGATATATTGTCCATACTTATTTTAGTCTCACATTTACTAAAAGACACGATATACACAAAATGGCTAGTTGAGATAGTGACACTCTCGAATTCAATTGTTAGAACCAGAATTTGGCAAAGTGCCCATCCAAGCCGGTGGCAGCATTCCAGTTTGTTCATGAACTGTCTTGAACAATGGTGGCAACATCTTGTAAACTCCAGCAACCTCCTTCATGGCCCCATTGCTGCTGCCATCGCCGCCCTCTCCACCCCCATTAGTCCAAATGCTGATCTTGGGTTGAAGTCCACGTACGGCTTCGGCATTAATTTTAGCAATTTCTTGAAACATGCCGCTGTTGATCATCATGAAGTCCCTCATGGCTGCATAGTTGCCTCCAACTGCGTCCAAAAGACTGCGTAGATATGCACCTTGGGCTTGTCCAAGGGCTATGAGACCCTCAGCCTCTTTTTTCTTTGCATAAAATTCTCCATCTGCAACTTGTTGACGAGCATAGAATTCTGCCTCTGCAACTGCCTTCTGTGCCTTAGCCTCTTTCTCCCTCTGGTAAAGAGTTGCTTCGGCGGCCTTTTGCTTGTTGTATAAGTCCCAATTTGCCTCTTGTACCTTGTTTATGAACAATAATTCATTAACCAAAAATAGCTTTTGATCACACTCCTACATGCATGTGATTATGAATCACATTGATTATAATTTTTTTTTATCAATAAAGAAATGAGATTTGAACTCGGAATCTCTTCCAGTATTAAGAAGAAAAGTACCAACTAAAAGCTAGCCAATCACATTCACAAGTTGATATAAGCATTCAATATTTGCATTCCCTTATTATGTGAACATCATATATGATTAGTAAACATCATCAGAATATTTTACCAACTTAATTTGTATTATAAGTGTATTCAATATTCTTTTGTTTTCAAAAAAGACTAAAGCAAAACAAGGTACATACCTTTGTTTCATACTCAACGCTGGCCTTACTCAAAAACTCAGACTTAAGCTTCTCCGTCCTGGTCAAGGCATTCATCCTCTCCACCTGCGTCTGCAGCTCCGCATCCCTCAACGCCACTGCCTTCGCGGCCTCCACCTCCGCCACCTCTGCCTCCTTTGCCCACCCAGCCTTCTTCTTCGCCAGCTCAGCATTTGCCTCCGCCACCTCAGCCTCCGTCACATTCTCATACACCTTCACCTCTGCTTTCACCTTTATCTCCGCCATCTTTCCCTCCCCTTCCCTCTTCGTCGCATAGATCTTCGTCTCAGCGTCAATCTTCGCCGCGTTCTGCAGCGTCAGCCCCTCCCTCTCCTTGGACCCTATCTCTCCTTTCTTCCTCGCCTCCGCCACGTCAACTTTAGCCTGATTGGCCGCCTCCATCTGTGTCTTCTGCCCCAAGTAACTAAAATACTCATGTCCCGGAACATCCACCAACTGTTTGACATTTGCGTTATATATCAAAAGCCCGAACTGATTCAATTCCAACTGAACCTTCTCAAACACCTCTTGCTTAAACTCCTTTGTCCCCTTAAACACCTCCTCCATGGTCATCGAGGCAGCGAGGACACGCGTCTCTCCCTCGATGATGCCCTGGACGAGCTCCTTCACGTGGCTGGAGAGCTTGTCGTGACGCGAAATGAGCTTCGCGTACTTCTGGAGGCTGGGGGTGTCGTCGATGCGGGGGCCAATGGTGAAGACGGCGGGAAGCATGAAGGGGAGCTTCTCGGAGCTCATGGCTTGGACTTCAAAAGTGTAGTTGACGGGGGACATGTCGAAGATGATGTAGGACTGGCCCGGGAAGATCCATGCCTTCTTCGCAAGCTTTATGTCGGTGATCCCGATCCCGCTGATCACTAAATACTCCGAAGGGCTTGCTACTACCACTACTAAAAAAACTCACTACTAAAAAAACTCACACTACCTACTGATTATGATTTGTCCCCTAAGTTGATTTTTGAGACAATTATTTGTCTCCACTAGCAATAGAGACTATGCAGCCACCATTGTTGTATCAGTGTCCTAGTTTGGGGTTGCTATTGGTTATAGGGCACCATTTAGTGAGTCAGTCCTTCCCTATTTTCCCTTAAAGAAATACATTTTTAAGATACAAGCCATTCAATTAAGCCAAGCCATGTTGAATGGCTTCAAGTTTGCCTACTGATATTGGAATGGTTTCTTTTAAAATAGGGACGCATCAATCACATCAGTGAGCCATCTTGTACTATTCACGTTGGGTATCAGTCCTCAATGTATCATTAACTCATTAATAAAATTATTTATATAATACAGTTAAAGCCATCAGTCCCCATTCACAAATATTAGTTTTTTAAAAAAAGTGCACTAATTTGAAATTAGTGCACGTTCAATATTGATTTCTATTTAATAATTTATAATAATAATAAATAAATAAAAGAATTTTGGATGAAATAGTCCAGTATATTTGCTCCTCACCAAGTCTCAGCATCTCCATTTCAGGTTGCTCATTTTTCTTCCTCTATTCTTCATTTTGCACCGTTTGCTCCTCAAGTGCTCCTCGCATGGTCTGTACCTCTCTTCATTTCATACCCCTCTTTGCTAAGTTACTATCCCATCCCAAGCACATCAACCCATGACACCCCAGCTCCAAATCTTCTATGTTTCTTCAATTCGTTTACTAAAATCAGCCTGCCCAAAATGCTTATATCAGTAGAAAATGGAGGCCGCTTGAAATTTTAGTTCAAACATCTCTAACTTTAAACTTTAGAACAAACTGATATATAATTTGGCAGCTGATAAGTACCTGTGATTGTAGCATTATCCCATCCTTGTAGAATGCTACCAATTGTAGCAGCAATGGCCACCATCACAGCTCCCCTCATCTTTTCACCAATGAATAAACAAGACCCCCAATATCAAACAAACCTGAAAGGAAAAAGTACTCACATAAATCAAAATTAATAAATCATTTCCACCTACGATAGACCCAAATCTAACTAACTCATAAGTAACCATTGTCACACCCCAAAACTCAAGTGTAAGATCAAGGAAATTAAAAGAGCATACAAACAGCAGAAAACAAAATTTTGAAACCTTGATGCTAGTTCTGAAATAAACATTGAGGCTGAACAAAACCAAGAAATAATAGAACTTAAATTTACAACATGCTTCAAAACCAAACAATTGATACAAAAATAGAAGCAATCAGGAAATCCAACACAACATCAGCTCAAAAGAAGACATGTGGAACTAATTGGTGTAATTCTTTTTATTAAATTCCAAGTTCAAAAAGTGTTTCAAACTATTAATAATAGTTTCATATGTTGCAGAAATCTAAAATTTAAGTTGGCTTGATATTTCACCAAATATTTCATACAACTTAGATTGGATTTTCAAGAAACTATGTTTAAAAGAAACTTGGACATATCTAAAATGAAATTCAAAAACCAATATAATAAATATGCAAGTAATAAGAAGAATCCAACCATTTCTGCGTACCCCTTCACTGAAAGATTTCTATACACTTCAACAAAATAAAAACCAGTAGATAAGCCAACCACAACATACACTACAACTAGTGTTGACCCAACTTTACAAAAACAACTATCGCTCACCCAAAAGTCTGAATTGTTCCAAGCTACACCAGAAAATCTGTCACCACTAGATCATCAACCTAACCTTAGCAAAAAGATCTATGCACCACCAGAAATTTTTAGGAAAAAGGGAGTCAGCAAACCATGCCCAATTTTTCATAAATGAACAATGATTAAGATACATCTGAAACCAACTCTAAAAAAAAAAAGAAAAAAGAAAAATATGTTCAGGCATTAACTCAAATCACATCCAGCTTTCGCAAACTACCTCTCTGACCCTTAACATTTCAATTATTTTTTTTCTTTTAGACTTTTCCTCAAACACTACCTAGGCTTTTCCTTAACATTTCAATGCATTGCATCAGAAGAGTCATAAATCATTACCTTGATTCGAACTCATCTCGCATATATCACACAAATGGCTAGAATACTTTAATGCTGCCTGCTTTTGGATATATCATCCATCAACAAACAGAACGAAGCAAGAAGGCAATGAAAAATATTAACAAGCACCAACATCCATTATGCGGGAAATTAAATATCAAATGAGCCTTAATTTTTCCTAAATCAAGCACCTGGGATGTGACATCTAAAAAAAATCTTTATGTAATAGATTAAAAAACTAAGTGTTGTGTATAGTCCTTGATACATGTAACTTCAAAACAATGAGCAACCAACAATCAGATAAGAAGTTTTTTTTCAAGTTTTAAATAAATGAAAACAAATGAACTACTTAAATCGGATTTGCTTATAGATGAATTCTACAACTAGAGAGATGCAATATACAGCTTTAGAATAAATACACATGCAGATATCAAAAATCATAATGGGAAAAAAGGGAAGGACGGGCGTGAATGAGGAGATGACAATATGAGCAATGCATAGATCACAGAGAACTGCTTAAAAATCATTGATGGGGAACTAAACGAGGGCAGAAAGGTTGCATGGTGTCCTCAATTGCCATGAGCATTGGATATGAATATTTTGGGAAACCCATTATCAAATTTCCGAAAAGAAACAAAATTTACAAAAATTGAATACAAGAGCAATGCAGAAACAATACAACTTATGCATTTACAAGTACCTGTGATTGTAGAATTATCCCATCCTTGTAGAATGCTACCAATTGTAGCAGCAATGGCCACCATCACAGCTCCCCTCATCTTTTCACCAATGAATAAACAAGACCCCCAATATCAAACAAACCTGAAAGGAAAAAGTACTCACATAAATCAAAATTAATAAATCATTTCCACCTACGATAGACCCAAATCTAACTAACTCATAAGTAACCATTGTCACACCCCAAAACTCAAGTGTAAGATCAAGGAAATTAAAAGAGCATACAAACAGCAGAAAACAAAATTTTGAAACCTTGATGCTAGTTCTGAAATAAACATTGAGGCTGAACAAAACCAAGAAATAATAGAACTTAAATTTACAACATGCTTCAAAACCAAACAATTGATACAAAAATAGAAGCAATCAGGAAATCCAACACAACATCAGCTCAAAAGAAGACATGTGGAACTAATTGGTGTAATTCTTTTTATTAAATTCCAAGTTCAAAAAGTGTTTCAAACTATTAATAATAGTTTCATATGTTGCAGAAATCTAAAATTTAAGTTGGCTTGATATTTCACCAAATATTTCATACAACTTAGATTGGATTTTCAAGAAACTATGTTTAAAAGAAACTTGGACATATCTAAAATGAAATTCAAAAACCAATATAATAAATATGCAAGTAATAAGAAGAATCCAACCATTTCTGCGTACCCCTTCACTGAAAGATTTCTATACACTTCAACAAAATAAAAACCAGTAGATAAGCCAACCACAACATACACTACAACTAGTGTTGACCCAACTTTACAAAAACAACTATCGCTCACCCAAAAGTCTGAATTGTTCCAAGCTACACCAGAAAATCTGTCACCACTAGATCATCAACCTAACCTTAGCAAAAAGATCTATGCACCACCAGAAATTTTTAGGAAAAAGGGAGTCAGCAAACCATGCCCAATTTTTCATAAATGAACAATGATTAAGATACATCTGAAACCAACTCTAAAAAAAAAAAGAAAAAAGAAAAATATGTTCAGGCATTAACTCAAATCACATCCAGCTTTCGCAAACTACCTCTCTGACCCTTAACATTTCAATTATTTTTTTTCTTTTAGACTTTTCCTCAAACACTACCTAGGCTTTTCCTTAACATTTCAATGCATTGCATCAGAAGAGTCATAAATCATTACCTTGATTCGAACTCATCTCGCATATATCACACAAATGGCTAGAATACTTTAATGCTGCCTGCTTTTGGATATATCATCCATCAACAAACAGAACGAAGCAAGAAGGCAATGAAAAATATTAACAAGCACCAACATCCATTATGCGGGAAATTAAATATCAAATGAGCCTTAATTTTTCCTAAATCAAGCACCTGGGATGTGACATCTAAAAAAAATCTTTATGTAATAGATTAAAAAACTAAGTGTTGTGTATAGTCCTTGATACATGTAACTTCAAAACAATGAGCAACCAACAATCAGATAAGAAGTTTTTTTTCAAGTTTTAAATAAATGAAAACAAATGAACTACTTAAATCGGATTTGCTTATAGATGAATTCTACAACTAGAGAGATGCAATATACAGCTTTAGAATAAATACACATGCAGATATCAAAAATCATAATGGGAAAAAAGGGAAGGACGGGCGTGAATGAGGAGATGACAATATGAGCAATGCATAGATCACAGAGAACTGCTTAAAAATCATTGATGGGGAACTAAACGAGGGCAGAAAGGTTGCATGGTGTCCTCAATTGCCATGAGCATTGGATATGAATATTTTGGGAAACCCATTATCAAATTTCCGAAAAGAAACAAAATTTACAAAAATACATGGTGATGGCTGTTCTTTTTTACTTGGTTCTTCTTGCTACTTTAAGGTCAAGCTTTTAGGATACTTATTTATACATAAACAAGGAGGAGCCAATACACAAGCAATGTTAGTACTAGTAATGAAGAATATAAAAAATTCATATATAATAATTGATACACTAACTGCCGTATTATGTTTAAATATACTTGTTTAACAATTTCAAGTTTCCTTTGGATAGTTCATAATAAATCTTTTATTGTTTAAATATAGTTGTTTGTAGTAGACTATATGTTTGTCATTTGAGTACATGTTATGTGAATCTCCTTGATTCATATTGTCAATGAAAAATAAATAAATAAACAATTATATATATTTTAACAACATTGTGTTATAATAAGTAATTATGTTATTTTATAAATACAAATATAAAGACAAATAAGTGACCCCACATAGGCATGATGACAGAGATTTGGGTGAAGAACTTGTCAAAAATGGAATGTTGAACAACTTGTAGCCATACATAAATTTGTGGAATGGAACTATCACACTCCATAGTCCATACATAGAGCGACACCCCAAGACATTCAAGTGTGATAGTTTCACTCCACAAATTTATTTATGGCTACAAGTTGTTCAACATTCCATTTTATGACAAGTTCTTCACCCAAATCTCTTTGTTATCAGGCCCATGTGGGATCACTTGCCCCCACTGCAATTTGTCTTTATATTTGTATTTATAAAATATAGACATGAAGCTCAAAGGACAGATTGTACCATCACGTATTTATTGGTGTTCACCCGTTTTGCTTTTGTTCCTGTGATGGTAGGGTAAAGTTTCCCATTGGCTTGAGAACCATTAACTAGTCAACAAGTCAACTTTCTTTAATGTGCGAGCGTGCCACTGCTAGCAATAAAAATCCTAGCAGACTTTCTAAAAATAGATAACTTGCACCCCAAGTTACTGACTTCTAAACAAGTGATTGTGAATTTGGGTGAGGAATATCTCCCAAGTAAGTTCTTTTCTTGCCTCAGTCTGGTGAGGACTTCACAATTTTTCACAGTATAAAACTGATAGTTCTGGCTAGAATAGATAATGAGAAAATGGGCTATTTTTAGACAGAATTCTCTTTTACAAGACTCAAAAGGGAAAATTTGACTCCAAAAAGAGAACAAGAAGACTGGACTTCCATTTCTGCCTGGGCAGATGCTTCTAATTCGGGCTGGATTGGGTATGTCTGTGCTGGACTGGACTATCGACAACTTCAACTGGCCTGTTTCAGCTGCAAATCGATGCCAACGTTCGAGTTTGGCAGAGCTTTAATTTATTTCAAACCCTGGAAAGCTTTTGATTGGGCAGAATTGGGACTTCTTCAGTCTGGAAGAGGCAGAAGTGGCTGGAACTGACTACTGAGCTGGAGCTGCACTGTGGTATCTATCCTGCTTAATCAGGGCTCTTCATAAATTTGTTGAGGTTTTCATATTCGTAGAAACTTGAACTCTGCTTGCTTTGACTTATGCTAAACCAAATTTGTAACGAGAGAAATCTCGTTTTGAATGATTTATTTCTCTAAGTTTGGACTGAAGTTGGGTGTCTCGATTGATGGCTGTTTGAAGGCTCTTGAGATCAAATGATCATTTTGAGATTTTGTCTTCGGTTGATTTTTTGGTTGTCTGATTGATTGTCCTTTGCTCTGTTCACCCTCTCTTATATTTATAAGAGATGCTTTTGGAATGGGGGTTTTAATTCTTTTAATAATGGGCGGCAAAAATTCTCAAAAGATCTTTCAATTTTAAATGCAAAGAAAAGGGGGTTTTATCAATCCTGGCAAATAAACACTCAATAGTCTGCGATCATTTCCCTGTATTTTGATGGGGCACCATACCCTTCTTCCAGTTTAATTGCTCCTGTAAGAATCTCAAAACTGTGATGGTAAGTTTTCAGTTTTGAACAACTCCCTGTTTCCCACTTATCTCCTTTTCATAAATCATAGTCTGCGTATCCCTTGAAAATAGTGCCTTCTTTGGAGCAGAAAAAATATCTCTGAATAAACAAAACAGATTTTGATCTCCTGGAAGCAGAGTTTTTCAGAGATGTTCTTTATATCTGCCCCTATTCATTCCTTATTAATTTCAGTTGAAATTGTTGACTTTTCCAAATTAGAGGGTCACGTGGGTCTGTTTCTGCTTTGGGCTTCTTTTTCTTTTAATTAAAAACTTGTCAAGCCCAATTTTGGTTCAAGCCTAATTTGGGTTCCTTCGAGGCCCAAGTCATTCGCGGTTTTGATAGTTTCTGGGCCTCCAATGTTTGGGTCGAGTGTATAGCCTTGGCCTGATTTATTTGTTGGTGGGCTGAGTGCGTCAAGTTTAGGCCCAAACAATTGGTAAAGTAGTCTCACTCTCTTGTAATCAAAACATGCTTTGTACATTATATAAAGCGCTTAAGACGATTTATCCCTGCACTCAAGATTATTGTGTTCGATTTTTTATTTCTCAATATTTTTTGTACACAAGAAGAAGAAGAAGGAGGAAAAGAAAAGGAAAAAAAAAACATAGCAAAAGCTTCGATTTTTCATTTCCCAATATTTCTTGTACGCAAGAAGATCAAAAAAAGAAATTTTTTTAAAAAAAAAGCTACGAAACTCACTAGCAAAAGCACTTCATTTTCCGGAGCTGCATGATAAAAGTAAGATATAGCTCCTGATGACGACGACTTGAACTTCACTATCCAAATAGAGATCATTTTCATATTAGCAAGACTTGTAGACTTTCATCAGTTTCATATAAAATATTTACTATAAATCCCGCTCACACAGTTTTTAAGGCGCGAACATGGGCAAGAATTCAATTTCCATTGATACTATATTAGGACTTGGAGGACAAAGGAAACATGTTGAGGTCACTTTCTCATATTGGCATGACTCCATTGGATTCCACATTATGCCAACCAAATCCTCAAATGTGAAGAGCAGCATGACACGAGCCTAGCTGGTACAATTTTGGCTGCACTACAATGGCAATTCAAATTTGGCTAATGTATACCCATATGAAAGCAACATTAATTAATTATATGAATACAATATTATACGTGGTACCATCTCAACTAATCACATTGTGTGTCATCTCTTTGATTGAATGATATTGTCCACACTTATTTTAGTCTCATAAAAGACATGATATACACAAAATGGCTAGTTCAGATAGTGACACTCTCGAATTCAATTGTTAGAACCAGAATTTGGCAAAGCGCCCATCCAAGCCGGTGGCAGCATTCCAGTTTGTTCATGAACTGTCTTGAACAATGGTGGCAACATCTTGTAAACTCCAGCAACCTCCTTCATGGCCCCATTGCTGCAGCCATCGCCGCCCTCTACACCCCCATTAGTCCAAATGCTGATCTTGGGTTGAAGTCCACGCACGGCTTCGGCATTAATTTTAGCAATTTCTTGAAACATGCCGCTGTTGATCATCATGAAGTCCCTCATGGCTGCATAGTTGCCTCCAACTGCGTCCAAAAGACTGCGTAGATATGCACCTTGGGCTTGTCCAAGGGCTATGAGACCCTCAGCCTCTTTTTTCTTTGCATAAAATTCTCCATCTGCAACTTGTTGACGAGCATAGAATTCTGCCTCTGCAATTGCCTTCTGTGCCTCAGCCTCTTTCTCCCTTTGGTAAAGAATTGCTTCGGCGGCCTTTTGCTTGTTGTATAAGTCCCAATTTGCCTCTTGTACCTTTGTTTATGAACAATAATCCATTAACCAAAAATAGTTTTTGATCACTTTTGATCGCACTCCTCTATACATGTGATTATGAATCACATTGATTATAATTTTCTTTTATCAATAAAGAAATGAGATTTGAACTCGAAATCTCTTCCAATATTAAGAAGAAAAGTACCAACTAAGAGCTAGCCGGTCACATTCACAAGTTGATATAAGCATTCAATATTTTCATTCCCTTATTATGTGAACATCATATATGATTAGTAAACATCATCAGAATATTTTACCAACTTAATTTGTATTATAAGTGTATTCAATATTCTTTTTTGGCAAAACAAGGTACATACCTTTGTTTCATACTCAACGCTGGCCTTACTCAAAAACTCAGCCTTAAGCTTCTCCGTCCTGGTCAAGGCATTCATCCTCTCCACCTGCGTCTGCAGCTCCGCATCCCTCAACGCCACCGCCTTCGCGGCCTCCACCTCCGCCACCTGCGCCTCCTTCGCCCACCCAGCCTTCTTCTTCACCAGTTCAGCATTCGCCTCCGCGACCTCAGCCTCCCTCACATTCTCATACACCTTTACCTCCGCTTTCACCTTTATCTCCGCCATCTTTCCCTCCCCTTCCCTCTTCGTCGCATAGATCTTCGTCTCAGCGTCAATCTTCGCGGCATTCTGCAGTGTCAACCCCTCCCTCTCCTTGGACCCTATCTCCCCTTTCTTCCTCGCCTCCGCAACGTCAACTTTAGCCTGATTGGCCGCCTCCATCTGTGTCTTCTGCCCCAAGTAACTAAAATA